AGTGACCCTCAGTGTTGAGTACTTGGGACACTGTAGCAGGAAGTGCACTTCATCTTCCAGGGCCCCCTGGTCACGACGTTGGCACAGTCTACCCTCCATGGGATTTTAGGTCTGTCTGTGCCCCCCTGATTTCCAAGCTGTGGGCTCTCAGTCTGTACAGGCTCAGGATTTGTGATCTTGCAGTACCTCTAGGTATGGGGCCAGCTTGTATTCTCTCTGTAATGAGTGGTAAATAATGAGTTTCTGGGAGTTTACGCTTTCATTTCTCCATTCTCTGACATAGTTTTCTTTATAATCATTCATTAGGTCCTTTATTTCATATTGTGTCAGGCTGCATTTTTGGGAGCTTTGGATAGACAAGGCAGTCTTGTTGCAGGCCGAATGGTTTGGAGTGGTCCTTCATGGCCAGTAGGACTTTAAGGTGGAATAAGGTGGGGCTGCTGTTGTTTAGGTGGTCCCAGTATGATAGTGCCCTCTTCTGTACTGCAAGAAGCAAAGGGAATCTGCCCAGCTCAGCCTGGCAAGAATTGTTAGTGGTGCTCAGATGGACTTGGAGGAGATGCTTGCAGAACTCCAGATGATATATTTCTGATGGGCTGGAGTCCCATCTGGATTGGTCTGGATGGGGGCCCATAATTCACTGCCATAAAGGAGGATTGGGGTGATGACACTATCAAAGATTTTAAGCCACACTCTTATAGTTGGTTATAGTTTTTTAGAGTTGTCCCCTGATGGCATAGAAGGTTCTACATGCCTTTGTCTCTTACGGCCTCTATGGCAGGTTTGAAACTTCCTGTTTTGTTACTTTCTAGGCCGAGGTATGTATAACTGTTGGATTCTTCAAGAGTGCAGTTGTTTAGTGTGAAGGAAGAACTCTTGATGTTTGTGTTCTTCTTTTGGAAAACCGTGACTTTTGTTTTCTTTGAGTTGATGGGTAGTGCCCATGCCGCACTCTGTGATGGGTAGTGCTCATGCCGCACTCTGTGATGGGTAGTGCCCATGCCGCACTCTGTGATGGGTAGTGCCCATGCCGCACTCTGTGATGGGTAGTGCCCATGCCCTCTCTCTTTTAGTGATGAGCCGAACACACCTGAGTTAGGTTCGATTTCGATGTTTAGAACATGGAAACGTTTGAACTTCAAACTCAATGAAAGTCTATGGGACCAGAACTCGTAAAATCAAATGTCCCCATTTTGAAGGCTTATATGCAAGATATTGGCCATAAAAAGGGTATGGGGATTCAAGTACTGCCCTGGGGATGATGTATCAATTAAAAAAACACTTTTAAAAAATACAGTTTTTAAAGGAGCAATGATTTTAACATTGCTTAAAGTGAAACAATCAAAATGAAAATATCGTGCCTGGGGGGTCCCCTTAAATTGCCTGTAAAGTGGCAAATCTCTAGAATGTACATAACCTGCTGCAGTAAAAAATGACATTTATAAAGAAAAAAGTGTGCTTCCCCCACCCAAACAATACCAGACCCTTTAGGTCTGGTAGGAATTTTAGGAGGGACCCCATTTAAATAAAAAGAAAAAAAAGCATGGGGTTCCCCCCAGCAGTCATACCAAGACCTTAACATCTGGTAGGAATTTTAGGAGGGACCTCATTTAAAAAATAAAGTGCAGGGGTCCCCCCCCCAAAGTCATACCAGGCCCTTAAGGTTTGCTAGGAATTTTAAGGAGGCACCCCACCCCCAAACATGGGGGGAAACACGGGGTCCCTCTTAAAATTCCTAAGCACTTGATCCGAGCACAGGCCTGGCAGGACAGGAAAGGGGGGAGGGGGACGAGCGAGCCCCCCCGTCCCGTCCCCTCCGCCATACCAGGCCACATGCCCTCAGCACTGGGAGGATGCTTTTCCAGGGTCGTCCCTGGAAAAGCACCTTGTCCCCGTGCCGATAGGGACAAGGGCCGCATCTAGATGCGACCCCCCCTCTTTTGAATAAGTGAGTGGTACTTATACCCCTCCCTGTTCCATAAAGGGTTAAATTCAAATTGTAAAAAAGACGCCACACTTTTGAAAAGATCCTTTAATTGATAAAAAAACAAAAGACAAGTTTTTGACAAGTCTTTTATTTAAAAATACAAAAATGGCTCCACCGACGTAATCCATGGTCAATCATGACATCCAGCGTTGTCCACGATGACGACGACTCAACAAAATAAAATATAAAGAAAAAATAAATAGAATTAATCATTTTTAAAAACCCCGACGCCGCCGACCTGTCCGCTTCTGACGAACTCCCGCTGGAGAATGGTATTCTGACAGATGCCCGCAAAATATAAACAATTGGGCAGAGCTAACAGTGACATCATCGCTAGCTCCGCCCAACTGTTTACATTTGTCCGAAACCTGACAGGACTTAGCTGTGAGTCATGATTGTGTAAAGTCATCATTACTTTGCCCAATCATGGCTATTACAGTGCACTGTGCGGTAATTGGGCAAAGTCTTGCACCTGACCTGTGGTCAGGTGCATTGCTTTACCCAATCAGGTGTCTCACAAGGCACTCTGTGGTGCACAGAGCCTTGTGGGGCGCTCGGCGCCCTGATAGTTTGTGTGTTCGCTGAACACACGTACTACAAATGTTGGAGTCGAACTGTTGTTCGACTCGAACATCGAGCCCATCCCTACTCTTTCTCTCTCTCTCTCCCTCCCGTTCTCTCTCTCTCTCCCTCCCTCCCTTTCTCTCCCTCCCTTTCTCTCCCTCCCTTTCTCTCTCCTCTTGCATCCTTTTTAGCACCTCACTGCTGCTGATCTCATGCAGCCTCTTCACTCCCATTTCCTGTTATAATGCATGCACTCAATCAATTGCCGTATGGCATTTCTCAGGGCAGGATTCCTAACAGTGACAACTACAGTGACAACTACCCCCTTCCTGTCCAGGCCATTTTTCAGTATTCTGCGATGCGGTACTTTGACTGACATTTATTCCGTCATCCAACGCTGTACTGAAATACATTTTATACCATTTTGGGGACAGATAGAGCTTTCTTTTGGAGGTATTTAATCACCACTGGGGGTTCTATTTTTTACTATAGTAAGGAAAAATTACCTACATTTTTTTTTAAAAACTGTTCCCCCTATGTTAA